TTTATTTTTGTTTGTTTGTTTTTGTTTGTTTGGGTTTTTTTGGGTTTTTTTTGGTTTTTTTTTAAGAGTGCATTCCCATGCCTGAGAGGTGTGTAAATACATCAGATTTTGTACTTAAAGCAGTCATTTATGTCTCTGCCTCAGTCATATATTCATTACACTTTAACCAATATTTCTCTGTCTGCAGTACTTGATTACATTATTCCAACTCATATCTTTCCATCTCTCCCACCTTTTCAGAGCTGAATGGAACTGAGGACATCATTATTAAAACACAGAAAGCAAAGAAATAAAATTAACCAGAGCACCAGTTCTTTATGTACTGAATACACTGAGGAAATAAAAGGGCCTTCCATAGCTCATACACTTCTAATAAAATCTGGATGTGAATTGCTTCATAAAAGCTTGGATGAATTCTATTCAGAGGCCAAAAAGAGAGAAGAGAGAGAGCTTGGAGGCCTCCACCAGCAGGATGCTCTCCCTGCCGTGGTGTGCAGCCCAAGGGAAATGCCAGGAGAGCTTTGGAATCAGGTGAGACGTTCTGCTCAGAGGATGAGCTTCAGGCCTGCATGAAACACTTGAGTCCCAGGGCCACAGGCTGTTAAAGTCCCTCCCAGTGAAATATCAGTCCTGCTGAAGTTGCTGGAGCTCTTCCTGCTGCCTCCTGAGGTCTCAACCCTCCCTTTGGTTCTTGCCCAAGTTGCCGGATGGCGGAGGAAGGGCCCTGCAGAGGTGTGGTGATTTCTCATCCCTGTTCTTGCCCCGCTCTGATCTCCCAGGGTCCCAGGAAGGTTTTAGGATATGGACATGGCTTTTCAGCTTCATCTCGGTGCTGGAAGATGAAGGTGGTGAGGGACACGCCCCAGGTGTGCTCTTGTCACCAGCACATTCCTGCTGCCCCAGGACACTGCTGTTCTCAGGAGATGCAGCCTGGTGACGTGCTCGCCTTTAAGGATATGTTTGTTGCTGTGGGCTTTTCTTTTGGCACATGGGTTCAGCTGAAGCCAAGGGGGCTGTGCTCAACTGAGTAATGGAGAGATTAACAGCCCAGAAAGCCAGGCTTGCATGGTGCTCATTGATTGTTTCTCTTGAATATAAGCAGAGCAGCCCAGAGTGTCAGGCATCCGAGGAGAGAGGAGGCTGCAGAACTGATGTAC